ACATCTGATGAAAATTTCATGTCATTAGCACCTCTAGTAATATATTTACTGAGAAAAATGGTGACGTGTTCAATACTTATTTTACCCGCTGTACGTCAATTCTTAGAGAAGCCAAATGAACTCCGAAATATTTAAAGTACACAATGTGAAATTAGAATACATTTTATTAGCTTGATGCTTCCTTTAATACAAAATTGAGATCCATTTCTGTTCTCTTCAGTATAAGATGTTTCAACTTACTGACACAACCTGTGTGCGCATGAACTCCAGTACAGCTAGTGAAAAACAGTGGGTCCTCACAATAAACCAAAATAAATCCACACACACACTCATTATTAATCCTCCAAGCAATAAAGAAAAGATTTTCAACCTAATAACTGACAGTTGATGTCTGAATTACCAACTAAACGTTTAGATTTTATTCTTGTTGTCGACAGTTTTTTTAACTCGCTGTATGTCGATGTAAAATCAGCTGTTTTATTTTAAATGTGCTAAATAAAGTCAAATACCTGTATGAACATTTCCACAGGTTGATGAATCCTGTAACAGAACAAACAAGTTTTCAAGTCTGTTTAAAAACAAACAAAAAAAAAACTGATTACTTATTGACCCTCACTTAACGACAGCCGTCAGCGTACCTGATAACCTATGAATGTCAGCTCCTGTCCAACTGCAGCCTGTGGCACCTCAACCACCGAATCAACRAAGACGCTCCTCACTGGCTGGTCTGATCCTTCAGATTGAAACTGACATCTTTTTTCCCCCAAAAAATGAATAAAACATAAACACACACAAAAAATAAAAAAACAGAATAAAATCACTTTTAGCAGGGTGAATGAGATCATAAGAAATGTTCCCGWAAGAGTTTGTTACCTGGCAGAAATGTCAGCAGACAGGCTGCTGCTGCTGCTGGGTCCATTGGACACTTCCAGTTCTTCATTACGCTGATATTGATTCAGGAAAAGCCAACAGTGGTTCACAGAGGAAGTCTGACATCTATTCATGCTTCACTTCAGCTTTTATCATCACAGTCCCCTCACAATGTTGTGCCCCCATTTGTTAGAGAAAACCCTCTCTTCAAGCCTTTTCTCTTGGCATTACACTTAAACAATGGCTTCAGTTATTATTATTTTATCAACCTAKCCTTTTTACTCCAAGAGACAGAATCTGAAAACTACTATCTGTCCATTTATTTATTTTTCTTTGCCCAGGATTTTCGTGGAAAACTGTACAAGGATTTTGTACAAGCTGGCCTTGTGCTGAGGCTTTGTTAGAAGTAATAATAGGAGGTGGATCTTAGGGCTTTTACATATGAATGTTTTGTGAATAAATGTTTTTTTTTTCTTGGAAAAGGGAGATTTGAATTTCATTAAAACAAGAAAGATTTGACAGGAAATGACTAACATTTACTGTCMAATGTTTGGTTTTCTACTCAGCTGTTATAAATCTTAAACATTCTTTAAATTCATTTAAATTAATCTTTTTGACGCTACTGACCATCTATTAGCCTACCAGCTAAATGGGTCACTTTAAACAAACTAGTGGTCTGGACATTTCTTTTTTTCCTCATTTTTATCCTTTTCTTCTAGTTAAGTTGATTAGAGTTGGATAATATTTACAGCACCTGAATGTTGAGTTGTTTTTTTGTTTTTAATGCAGTTAATAATTTACCTCCAATAAAAATGAACTGTACTGCAAATATGACACTGAGCAACAGGAAACATTTTTAGTCAAATGACTCACAGAAAAAGTGATTTGTTGCTACCTGGCAACATAAGCACTACACAGATTCACATCTGTGTCAAAAGCCCCYGACTGGAGCTGCGTGCAGCATTGCYAGTGGTGCTTGCATTTTAAATTTTATCATTAATTGCTAAAATACAATTAACTTAGGAATATAAATAATTTGGAAAAGGATCTCGAGATGAATTTTCCCCAAAGAACCCTTGTAGGAGTTGATTTAGGCAACAGAAGAGTACCTAAATTATAGTACAGTTGTTGCTAAATTACTTACAGTCAGTCACTAAGATGAAAAATAAATGGGCTATTCATTTTACAGTAAAAAAAACAAAGAAAAAACAAACAGTCATGGTCACAGTGATGGATACTGCCACTGCATCTTTGGAAAACAAACCTCTAAAAGGGACTGAAAGACCTCCTGCCGATGTTTTTCCTGAGCTCGGATAAAGTCAGCTTGCTGTTGTCATCCAGAGACAAAACAAGAAAAAAATTGCATCCTTTAGAAAATCTCAGTTGTGTGTCCTTATTATTGTGGCACTGTACACAAATTGTATGTCATCACATAACAATAAATGCATACATGATAGCACATGGCTTTGCAGCTTTAATTTGCTTCCATCAAACTAAATGTGAAGTTCAACAGAAATATGTTTCATTACCTCTTTAATGTGTTCGTCCTCTTTCTCCACGAATGACTCCAAAACTTTTTCTACTTCAGCTTTAAACCTAAAGGCACAAATAAACAACAATTAAAGCACGTCATTTCCTTTCATTCTTTTACAAATGTTACACCTTTTTGGCTCATTGGGCCTTATGCAAGAACATGTTCGTATTCTTATCCTAAATTTCTTTTACTTTTGTTCGTACAAAGGGTTCGTACGAACATGTCACGTCAGATTCAACAAACTCTTCTATCTTCA